CTTTTGCGTCAATATAGCGTTGGAAATAATTAAGTAATGAGCAGATTTTTTATCTCTCTTTTTATCTCCCTCTATTCTGCTTTCGAATCAGGCGTTGAAGAATCGCCTCTAGCACCATTCCCATGGTAACTTTGATTGTTTCAATATCACTGTATCGAGTTTCTTTCACATCGGCATTTCCAGTTTTGAAAACAGAAAATACTTGCATACTTAGTGCTAAATCTGGAAAATGAAATAGATGGTCGAGAACGCATATTTGTTTTCAAACCAGAAACTACTTGACAGTCTTGTACGTCAGTGCATTGATAAATCTTCCGTTTGTTTAAATTTGGAGGAAAAAATTCATGAATCAGATCTTTATCATAATTCCTCTGCCATTATTCGCAATGCCACATTTGAATAAATAGCGATATGTTTATGAATTTTTTTCATGAATTCGTCATTATTCGTCGACTACAGATGACTTGGCCGTTCGTTATCGTCCAAATTTTTCCCAGATAGACAAACATATTGACATATTGACAATATTGACAATAGTATGCAGATATTCAATATATATTATATAACACCATTGAAGTGGCATAACATAATATACTTGTTGTAAAAAATATATATTTATTACTCCTACTTTCCAGCAAAATATTAGCTTGTTATATTATTGATTAATTGTATCTTCTTGCCGACACAATACATGGTATGTTGTAATTTTTATAGCATCAAATTGCTTCTTTTATATATTACTACAATGCTTGAGGATGTATCTCTACGTATTTATGTTACACTATTTTTAATTTTCGAATTCAGTTTCTGTGTCTGAGTCCTCAATTGTCTTTAAAGCATTAGTACCACTCAAATACTTGTGTATACAAACAGAAACAATATTAGCTGGCAATGACAGCTAATTCAACTGCGCATGATATGCGCTGCATATTTATCGTTTATTGCCAAGTAATATTGATGCAGAACTTATTGATGAAATCTTAACTGATCAGTGATTGTCGATAATTAATTATTAGACAACATATAGCAGATTAGAATTGCGGTAACTACCAATGCAGTATATAATAAAAATTGGGACTTTATGCCATTTTTTTCGATAACGATAAGTTATCGAATCACGACCAACGACGAAATAAAAAATATAAAAAATAAAAAAATAGAAAAAATAAAAAAAATTAAAAACAAAAAATATAAAAAAATAAAAAAAATAAAAAAATGTGAAAAAAATAGTGTAAAATCCTATCGCTGTAGCCTCCTCGTAGCGTACTCCGGGTCGTGATTCATTTCACCAGCAAATGCACGAAAGTTAACTATGTTTATACAATTTGAAAATGTTTATTACAATTTCATTTGACTTAACAAACAATAATATGAAAGCATAATCTTAGTCCTTAAATCGATATAAGAGAAAGAATTTTCCGTGCCTATTAAACAGACGACAGTGCATCGGGGATTAAAAATTCATTAATTTGGACATTAAATTCGAATTCCTTGATGTCGAAAACATAAGATTAGTGACCTTTTAAATTTAATTATGTATTTCTAGCAAAGAAATAAGGCAAGTTCTTTGTGACGCAAAGCGCGTGCCTTTTTGGCGCGCGTGCCAGTTCTGAGATGGACACGGATGCGTCTTTTTGGCGCGCGTGCCAGTCAAGTGGTTAAGTAAATTGGTTACTTCTTGATAAGATCTAATTTTATCACCAAAACCTCGCATCATAAGAATATTAATTCTTTCCTTATCAGTTAAACGCATTGTGCAAAGTGAAAACAATTACACTAAACGAAGAATGAATAAAATGTTAGTGTAGGATAGATTATATCCACAGGTTGATGTTTCTGGTTTTGTTTTTTGAGACAAAGTTAACTTCGCACCAATCTTCTTTAGCAAATTTACTGAAGCTGCGCCAGCTCTGTGTGCGTAGCGTGCGTAGGCCTGAGTGCTCTGACGCTTGCTGAGACGCTCAGTTGCTAAGCTGCATACTAATACGCAAATACTACGACAGTGACGAACCGTGGGGTCCTTATTTCTGCTATGACACACACACACACACACACACATACAAGAGATGTAAATCCGACCGTGCAACTTCCACGTGGTACACCTTGGGTAATGCTAATGCCGGTGGTATTTTAAGTCCTATAACTGGAAAAGTTCTTATGGAAAGAAGATTTGTAATCAGTGTTTCGGAAACGTCTCAACGTCAGCTATAAGAATATATAACAAAAAATAGAGGGTTCCATTTATTTCGACTTTGATAACGTTTTTCAAAGTCGTCATTCCAAGGTCAAACAATTATCAATATCTGATAGCTTTTTTAAGGAGGAAAAAGTATGGAAACCTTTAAAAATCTCGAAAGATATAAGTTTTACAGAAAAGTGTTTCAGATAAGAATTATAAAGCTCAAAATGATGTATTTACCGATTTTACCAATTTGACCTTGAGTGGCGTTGCCAAGGTCAGGTCAAGGTCAACTTATTTTTTTTAAACAGAAACTATCACTTTTTATTATATCATCTTTTTCTATTAATTAATTTGAACAACTTTTGTCTGAAACATTTTTTTATTTATCTAATATGTTTTAAGATATTTAAGGAAAACTAGAAGACTTTTTCAATACTTAACTTACGATATCTCGCTAACCATTTGTCGGAAGAAAAAATGGTACTAGACTTTTTTCTATTTGATCTTACGAATATTGTTATAATAGTTCCCTAACTTTTGTTAACTTATTGACCTTTGGAAATTTTAAAATCATTAAATTAACAAAAGTCAGAGTGCTATTGTAACAATATATTCTTCAAACTAAGTAGAGTAAAAAAGTCTAATAGCATTTTTTCTTCCAACAAATAGTTGATGAGATATCATAAGTTAAATATTGAAAAAGTTTCCGAGTTTTCCTTAAATATCTCAAAAAATATTAGGCAAATTAAAAAATGTTTCAGACAAAAGTTATTAAAATTAATTGGTAGAAAAAATGATATAATAAAAAATTGGGGTTTCTATTAAAAAAAAATAAGTAGATCTTGACTTAACCTTGGCAACATTCAAGGTAAAACTGATCAAGATCAGTAAATACATCGTTTTGAACCTTATAACTTTTGTCTGAAACACTTTTCTGTAAAACTTATATCTTACTTACTTATATCTTTCGAGATTTTTAAGGGTTTCCATACTTTTTCCTCAGCCTGTATATAAATTCTTCAACATTATCTTTACATTGAACAAATTCAATATACGTACTGATCTTAACTGTGAAATATAGTATTCTCTGCGAAAGAATAAAAATACAATTACATGACTATGATATTCGTGTAAAAGAAATTCCCTTTGGTGAATACTGTCATTTATTATTGCTAATTTTTCGATATGAATTTCGATAAAACTGACTCTAATGTTTTTTTCCTATTTCTTACAGGTAGACATATATTAAGACTGCTGAATATTCGCCATAACCATATTGGATAGTGTAGTCAGAGACGAAAAATAATATATTGAAAATTCTTACGTGTTATTTCCAAATAAAAAGATATTTGTATGAAAAAATACTTCCAATCGCTAGAGTATACTTGTAAAATGTAAAGTTGTAAAATGCACCAAACGTTATGCTTCTTTCTTAATAGTCAACGATCATAAAATGACTAATATAAGATTGATCGTACGAAATGATTATGTACGAAACCTCATCAGTCATATGCGTAAGCAATCATTTCATATTCTCAGCCCAGCATTCGTATCATCAATCTTATCACAATCATTTTATGGTTGTTGATTGACTCTCAAAAAAGAAGCATAATATTTGGAGCATTTTATATGTTCTAGTGACCTAAAATATTTTTTTATTTGAAAATGTCATGCAAGAATTTTAAGCATGTTTTCTCGCTACTGATATAATCATTTAAGAATTTCACGGCGAAGGACCCATAAGTAACATTCGTAAGTATTGTTCCGTTTGAATAAAAAAAAAAAATAAGAACTGATTCAAATTTAATTAAAATTAAAAATTGCCGAATTTCTTAAAAATTCTACTTTCTAATCAATCAATAAATTGCACAATATTTAAAAATGATTGTATGGGCATATTAAAATTTAAAATCAAAACTCTCTATTGTACATTAAAACGTGTCGTAGTGTAAATAGGGAATGACGGAATAAAAAGAGAAACTTGGAAAATATCGTTTATATTCTTTTTTTACAAGAGTGTAACGTCTCGTAACAACAGCCGTAAACAACTTAAAATCTTAATAAATAAATAAATAGAAAATACAGGATCTAGAAAAGTAATTCGCTTTTTATGATTAAAAATTAGTTTCAAAACTTGTTTCGTCGTCGCGAGCATTTGGAGCATTAACCAGAGGCAAGAAAATATATGCTTAAAATTCTTATCATATGTTGAAATAAAAACATATCTATAAAATATTTCAAAATTTCTCCTTTGTTCTAATGATTAATATATATATATATATATATATAAATTAGATACAACCATATGTGGTTATAAAAATATGAGATAAAATTATATAATCAAGAACATAAATGTTAAATTTTTGACTGATTGTTATAGTGAAAGAAAAGTTATTAGAATAATTTTTAAATTTGTTAAATCAATTATATCATTTTATAAACATATCCTTTCATTTTATGTAGTTTAATGTAGTTTGCAACTTTTTTTAAGCGTGTATTTTCTTACTTTTGACATAATCCATTAAGGTGCCCATGACGAGGTACTAGGAAAATCTTAAGCCAGAGCTGTTTACGATGTGCGCTTAGTAGCAGCTACCTCGTTTAGTATGTTTTTACCTCGATGGTTAAAAAAAGCGAAACAAAATTGTTGATTTATTAAATCGATCTGAGTTTCATTAAGCATAACTTAATCATTTTAAGGAATGAAATATGTATATAGAAGGAATGGAATATGTATAAATTAAATTTGAAAAAACTGAAATGTAAAATTTTTACTAATATTTCTTGATAAATATTTACTTGAGATTACTTTTTCCAAAAATTAAATAAAAGTAATTGCTTTTTTGATTCAGGCAGCTCTGACGTGAGAAAAGTTGAGTAATATAATGACAATAACTTATCTAACCGCGTATTTAATCAGTCTAATTGATTGAATCGTATAATTTGTGTCGTCTTTTCATGTTACGTAGCTTTTGTTAGTAATCGTCGTCGAACGTTATAGACTAAAATCTCATTGAATGAATACGTCAGGTGTTGAACATATCGGTATTCGTTCGGTGCTATCTCGTTTCTTCATTGAAGATACTAACGCACATATCTCGGTAACTTTGGCATCCTTTCTTCAATCATAGATTCATCATTATCAACTGTCCGTCATCGCTTCATCCATCTGATGAATTGTCCTTTTACTACGCTCTCTAACATAGCTCTGTTGGCCATTTCTTAGCGTTTTCTGCGCCTGATATATTGGCTCGTACTCCCTCAATTGCGTCATGAAACCTTCGTTAGGATTTATGCAAAATCTTCTTTGTTGCACTATCGCATACGCCTGTCTAAAGAACGTTATTGTTGGTTATACATACTGATTTATCATGAGTCATGTGGGACGAAAGATTAACACGTTGACTGCTACGGAATTTTTCACGATTCCGGTCTAAAGAGCCAATTTGATTTAATCATGTTATATTATTAAAAACTTTAATAATAGTAATAATAAAAAAGCTTAAAAAATATCTTTTTTTAAAAAAACATTTTTTATTCTCTTTCCTGAGGCCATCTATTCATATTTACACTGTTATGCTACGAGTTTCCTCGTAGCTGTACAAATATGGCAAGTAATGAAGGGACGAGATAACTCGTAGTTAGGCGTCCTAGGCAAGTAAACAACCTACGAGATATCTCGTAGTTGGCAGTCAACGTGTTAATTGACAGGAAAACCGTGAGCCACTTTATATCGAGAAAGAACTTACATCTGTGAAAGACCATACGTTTCCATCAAATACGCCAAGACTAGTGCAGCAGATCTCGAGATGCCAGCATTACCATGCACAAGGACCTGTCCGCCAGAGTTCAGCCCTTCATCGATGAACGTCTTGACGTTTTGGAAGTGCTGTATGATATTTTCTGTTGCGGTGTCAGCAATATTCAATACTAAATATCTGTTAAGAAAATACACAGAATAAGTTACCAGAATGTGTAAGATGAATATCATTATATCTTTTAAATTTTAATTTCTAAACAAATAAATAAAGGACAAAAATGTTGATTACAGATATAATTTGTTTGTATCTAACAATATATATTATTATATACATATATGTAAATCAACAAAATATCAATTGTAACATTCAGATAATTTTTTGTGGTCATTTTTATCTGGAATTATTAACATAAAATAAATTGTCAAATTATAACTGTAATCAACATATTGATATATGTAATCAATCTGTATTTATTTGATTTCAATGAAAGTTTTATTATTATTTGGATGGATTTGTTCTTTAATTTTAATGTTGTACACTATCTCAGAAAAAGAAATACTTTTCAGTGGGGTATATCAAATAATTTAGATTAACTTTTATAAATACAAAATTTATCAAAATACAAAATATTAATTCTAGATATTCGATTAAATGCGACATTTTTTGTTAAGTTTATATTAAATATACTAAAGATGTTTTTTGTCAATCAAATTTATATCAAATATATTAAAAATTATTTAAAATATTAAGATATAATGATTCACTCTGCATAGTTGATAAAGATCAAGAATAAAATGAAGTTGTAATTCTATGTACAAATAAGAATGATACAGAAAATATTACAACAAATCTACTTATTACTAGCGTTATTATCACCGTTATTATTTCTTGATCGCATACTTGAACTTATCGGGGAAGTTGGGTCTGATAAAGTTTGCCTCTATGTCTTGCCTGACACAGACTATGTGAGTTATTCCATGTTCTAATAGGCTGTCCAATTTGGAACGACTGGCAGCACTGTATGGACCAAGAAATAAGCCAGGTATCACTTCCTGTATAATGGACAGAATTATATTATAATTAATGGTATATTCTTGGCTTTTTTAAGTAGAAGTAAATGGAGTACATTTATTATTTAGCAGTTACCTGCATTTGTCTCCTCATTGTATATGTCCATTCCTTAGGTCCATGTATGGAGGATGCAGGTAATTCTGGATAATCCTGATCAGTTCCTGATTCTTTGGTATTTTCCTGCAATATAAACAGATACATCAAACTGTTATTATTTCTGTATTACTGGATTAAAATCATTAACCCTCTATGGACTGAATTTTTGTTTTAAATATAAAAAAATTTATGGAATGGAAAATCAACAATTATAAATCTATATATGCAGATTTGCCAGTTTAAACAATTTATATTGTTATTATTATTATTATTATTATTATTGTTATTATTCTTATTTATATTGTTATTGGTTATCTCAGAGACATTATATAATTAAGATATATACGTCTTGTGAAAAAACTAAAATTATTTGGTAAAATGTCGATATATTAGCATGTAACCTGAAAGTTACACAGGCCCATAGAGGGTTAATTAGATTCTAAAGTTGCTGAACTTATTTAATCAGCTCTTGATTTATTAAAATGATAAAAAAAATTACCGTTATCAATTAGCATTATAAGTTGATGTAGTAACTATTGCTCTAAACTTTGTATCTCCTGAAAGTCTTATAAAAGTGAAGCAAGAAACTTCGAGACAAATTTGTGTTGTAAAAGTCAGAATCTAATCGAGCTAACGAGGAAATTATTCGTGAATGAATCGCAATGTATCTAAGTTTAATTCAATTTTAAACACAACATAACCTAGCGTTATTCGTTATGTTAATTTTGATATGTTAATAAATTATACCAAGCATACTTCGTTGCTATGGGAGCTTTCATTATCCACTGACAGCATCACCAGCGATATTTTGGTCGTCAGGAACCGAGAACTTACAAGAAAACAAAGTCACAGAAATGTTTTTTCCCTGCACTGTCAATCTCACTGCCCCTTTTTCGATCAGGATATCCGTTTTAGTTTAGATCACGATGCCGTTGTTTTGCTCAAATTTCCGTCTTCTTTGTTTTCAAATTGACTCGAATTTTTATTTTCTCTCAATCTCCGAAAAAATTTTGCGAGCGTACAATACAACGTTAATTCAATTTAATTCAATTAAATATATGGCTCTGGACAAATTGGGGTACGTCCACACGCCATTCCCCAGTTCAATTCAATGTTCGGTCGCGGACATGTGTGCTCGTTTTTTTGCAACTTTCGGAACGCATCCCGACTCGAGAAGAATGAGAGTCACTGCCAGGGGGTACAGACTCTTGAAAAACGAGTGCCAGGCGTCATCTGGAGCTGTACGGCTGTACCCGGACGTTGCTGAACTAAAATGGGTCAGGTGACACGGAGTGAGGATACGCGGTAGTATTCAAACCCCTGCAGCCGCGCACTTTCATATATATACTGTTTTGTGCAAATATGAACACAGAAAAAGAAATATTTTTAATAAGTATTTTACAAAACTTTATTTTTATGTCTACTTATACATGCTAATTAATCATTATTTTTGCCCTATTAATTAGCATGTATGAGTAGACATAAAATTAAATTTTATAAAATATTTCTTTTTCTATGTTCACATTTGTACAAGATTATATATGTGCATATTGAGTTGTGTAATATATATATAATTTCAAAATTATTAGGTAAAATGAAATGATGGAATTTTTATGTCTGTATAATTTTATAAAATAATTGTATAGAAAATACAAAATTATATATATCAGCGGCATACAACTATATACAACTACACAACTCAATATGCATATATTAGAAACAATATAAATATAAAACTACATATTTATTACAACTTTTATTTTGTATTTTTTTATTACCTTGTTTACAAATATTATTTTAAATGGTTACAATATTTTTTATAATAAAAGTAAAATTTATTGCATTTTTTACATTATTAAATATATTAAATTTGAAATATATTGATATATATAATAGGATGTTACACACAGTAAAATAAGATTCATTTATATATAAAACATTGTGCAGATGTTTTCATTAGTGAATAGAATTTCATTAGTGAATGAGAAAAAATGATTTTTTTTTTTATAGAAATAATATTAACATAATAATAATGAAATGAAACATACTTGTGGAGAACATTTTTAATTTATCGTCAACATTTGGAAGAAAGTCTTCTGTATATTTGACATGTCCTTCGTGATGTCATCCCATGTATTCCCACATCGCAGTCTGTTGATCCTCTGATGCTAGTGATAAATAATCCTCTTCTTATTGTGTAACATCTTCCATTGTGTCCTCAACCCAGGTAGCAAACTGACGTCAAATGACGTACTAATGACGTCTTAATGACGTCTCTAACGTCAATAAGACGTCATTAGTACGTTATTTGACGTCAGTCTGCTACCAGGGAAGTTTCTTCTTAAAACATAGATTTTTTCTTCTTCATTTTTTCTTGCTGTCTCTTCACACATGTTTATGGGCAGTGGCACAAGAGCAGAATTGTTTGGAACATTTTCTACTACACTAACATGCTCACAAATATTATCGTTATCGTTAATATCAACATGCTGTTCAAAATTTAAAGGCAAATGTAATGTTGGTACAGCATTATTGATTAGGCGTCGCCTAGATCCATAAGGCTGTACTATATTTTCTGGAAAATGTTCTGTACAGATTCTCAATTTGGCCAATGTTTATTTAGGCGCACCTATAATATCACAAATTACATGAAATATAAGAAATTACATGATATGAAACAATTATGAAATATTAAAAATTACATTAGAAAAACGAGAGCATTGCAATGTTAAAAATAATCATGGATATCTATATATAAGATAAAGAAAATATGTTTAAATTAATTAAAATATATTTAATAAATTTTAAATAAAAATATTTACTATTAAAAAATTGTCATTGCATCTGTTTAATACTTACCGATCAAATCAGTTTTGCCTATAGCTGTTAGCTAATATTCCCTTTTCGATGCATCCTCTGGGAAGTGATGTACTGATATTTGAGATATGGACTTACATTGCGGAACACAACACTTCCACACCATCTTGAACACCATCTTGAAGAAATGTACCTAGAAAATTAACGTTGTTACTTATATATAAAGTAAGATATTAATACAAAATAAAATATATTAATTAATATAATATTAATTAATAAAAAGACAAAATAAATCATGAAGTAACAAGCACATTCTCTCTCTTTTCTTTATTTTCTCTAAGAAATATTGTTATATTAACATGTAATATTAAAAGAGGTAGAAAACTGACCAACTCAGTAAATAATTTGTTAACAGTGTAACCAACGATTGGCAATAAATTTGAGCAGAATATGTTAACAAATTGATAGATTTACAACATCTATAATTTACTATTATTCTTTTTACCAAACCTGCTGAGAGACTGACAACACAATAACAAATAGACAATAGGAAGCAAGCAGGATTTGCAATATGTTCCATTTAAATATATTGAAATAACAGATCTTGCTCGATTTCTGACATCAATTTGTCATATTCAGTCATCAGATCCTGTGATATTTCTACCATTAAACTGCTGATAGAATCTGTAGTTTACTAGCAGAAATATAATCTGATAGCAAAATTTGATGACAGCATAGAAATCAAGTCTGTCGTTCTAATATACTTAAATACTACATAACATATAGCAGATTCTGCTCGTTTTTCACCAATCTGCTGTTACAATGTGTGAGCAGGCTCAAAAATAATAACAGCAGATTAGGGCCGTAAATAATTTTATATCTGTCGACACGTCACATTTGAATCTGTCGCCAATTTATAATAAGATTAATTTTATCTATACATATATATACATAAATACTTACGTAAATGTCAATATTATGACGCCACAAGCTCTTTGTCTTTCGTTAGTCCTTCTTCTTTCTTCCTATAACACTGAAATGCTCTTAGGTTTGTTCTTTTTCCATACTTCAGGACTGAACTCTGTGAAAAGTGTACACTGAAACGTTCTTTCTCTCGGAAGTGACGTTAGACTTGCTGTTCTTTTTCGAAGTGCAGTTGTCCTAGGTCTGAAATAGTTCTGAATTCGCTGCCCCAGGTCTTTAGACAGTACAAGAGTTCAGCCATAAAATTCTAGCGGAAATTTCAAATGAAAAGTCTGCCGTACTACGCATTTTGATGAAGAATAAGAAAGAAGAACGAGAAATTAGTAAGTAAATACATCTAACCTAACCTTTTTATCAGCCTTCTGAAATAAAATTACGTGTTTTTCTTAAATATATAAATTAGTTCTTCTCATTATTCTACGTATAAAGAAATATTAATCGAAAAATAAATTTGAGATACTTCCCAGTAAGCAAATTGCCCGCAGAATCCCAGCAATTTGCAGTAACATTGTATATAACGTTACGAACTACATATTTCAAAACATTACATTATTGAACATCGTAATAATAATATTGTGTTGATAATTTTTTGTTTAGTGGGTATATGCATAGAAACAATAACACGATGGCAGAAAATCAAAAGGACAACATTGGACATATTTCTAAGGATGACATCGGTAATATAATTATCAACAAAGAGGGATGTGTCACATGCACTTGTGGAGGTATGAAATTAATATATACTTATACTATACGTTACGTTATACTTTACGTTTTGATATGTAAATCGATAATTAAGTAAATAAATAATTGATTTTAAGAAAACTAAATTTATCTTATTTGCAGATCTGATATTTCAACTGCCTTACAGTGAAATTAATTTTACATGCGATACACTACAATGTACGGTTGCAGACAAAACAATATTTATAGAATTGCATGAAAATGCAAGAAATATACCTTTGAATAATAATATAGCTCAAAAACCATCTCAAGAATATAATAGAAAAGAAATATTTTCATAGAACGACGCAAGAACTAAGTTATTTTTAACTTTATATAAAGAACACAAAGAACTATTGGCAACTAAACATAAATTATTATGGCAAAAAATTGCTGAACTTATGCAATCACATGGATATAACACAACAGTTTCTCAAGTGGAAAATAAATTTAAATCACTTGAAAGATCCTACAAAAACATGATTACAAATAATAAACAAACTGGTAGAGGACGCGTATCATGCACATATGAAACGTAAGTAATAATTAATTTTACATTTTGTAAAAGACTTAAGCACGTAAAAAACATATTGTTTACTTATTACAGAGAATTGACTGAACTATTGGGATATAAGCATAATATTGAACCCTAGCGGTAACAGGCAGGCAAGGTTTAATTTTAAGAGAAGAAATACGAGCGAATACATTCACGTAAATATCATAATAGACATTTTATTTTTTTAATTGAATGTATACAATATAAATTTCAATTAATGTATCATACTTAAAATATATTCCATTACTGTATTGTCATTAAATAGAAATCAATTATGTTTGTGCAGAATTCTTTTATATATTCATTATGTGTATTTATTTAGATCTAACAATGACATTAATGTAGATGAGCCATCTAATTCAAACAACACCATTTTAAACGACAATACTAGTTATCTTGCCAGCCAGCCCAGTACAAGCGAAACTAATATCCATCCAATCAATACAACTGATATCAATACAAGCAATAGAACCGATACCAATATAACTCAAAACATTACACAACAGATTACACAAACATCAAACAAGATTTCTAGAAAACATATGGGTACTACTGGCAGATTGTTGCAAACGTGTTAGAAAACACTTCAAGATATCTCAAATAATATCGAAGAAGATAGAGCGGCTAAATTAGACATATAAAAACAAATGTTGGCTGAATATAAACATATGCGCAATACATATACAGAAAGTTTTAATAATATAAATGACAATTAAACACAGCAAATATAATAAGGGAAAAGAACAATTAAAAACAGCAAATATAATAAGGGAAAAGAAAAATAAACTTTTAGAGGATCTTATTTTAGAATTAAAACATAAACGGAATTAATACATTTCACATATTTGTTTATCAATGTATCTATTTAGTGTTTATTATATTTTTGTTACATATATTTTTCTTATATTTTTGTCACGTGTATTTTTGTTATACATACATTTAAATACAAATAATATTCCTTTTAAATTATTTTTTCATTGTCAACCAGTTTTTTTTCTATATTACTTATAAAAAATCCATATTATAATACATTTTTGTACATATTCTATAACTTATTAAAAATTTATTTTGTATAAAATTATAAACTCTTTAGTTTACAAATAATTGGTGGCATATTTCGTCACGAATGTGTACTCCAGTTTCAATCTCTCTTGGTGCTATATCTATCTCGGTATGTAGTCTTTGTGCTTCAATGTCAGGTTGCTCGTCATCTATAGGTGCTTCGAAAATTTCTAAATCGTTTGCATTTGCTATATTATGAAGCACGCAACATGCGTGTATCACACATGTCATTCGTGGTATATCTCGCAGTTTAAAATGGTACAATTGCCGAAATCGTTGCTTGAGACATCCAAATGCATTTTCAATTATGACTCTACAAGAACTTAATTTTTGGTTAAATGTCTTTTGCGCACGTGTTAAATGTCCATTGTCCCTATAAGGCACAATCAACTGTTTTAGACAAGGATACGCACTATCTCCCAACAGGTGATAATTATCTGAAAAGTAAGTTTATTTAAACATCAATTGTTATTAGTTTATACTTTTATATTTTATAATTTTTCAACTAACTTCCACAGAGTTCATGCAAATCATTGCGTATTGGTGAATTTTTAAATACTCTTGCATCGTGCACCGAACCAGGATATCCAATAAATACATCCATAAATTTCATATGATGGTTAACTGTTCCCTGAATATGTAAAGAAAAACATTGCTTCCGATTAATATATGATTCAGGATCTTCTGTTGGCTTATCTATTCTAATGTGGGAACCATCAATAGCGCCTAAAACAAATATCAACGTATGAATAAAATATTTTTAATATTTACATGATAAGAAAATGTAACATTGAAATATATATATATTCATGTCATATATGGAGTAATTGGTATATAAATATATAACATTGCAAATATAATATAATAATTATAAAATATTGGTCAAATTCAAGGATATGGTCATACGTCCCCCTCCTTGTCCAACAACTTTTGTATGAAACTTTTTTCATTATTTCGCTCACCGGTCGATTTATTCTCCATTAAAGGTTAAAATGGTCCACCCTGTATATAAGTGAAAATATATATGTAAAAAATTTACAGAATCCCAAAAAATGAAGAAATGCGAAAAAAATGGTTTCACGTTATTGGCTGTGATGTATTTTACAAAGGAGCAAAAATATGCAGTGACCACTTTACAAAAAATGACTATCATGAAATGAATGAATATAAACAAAATAAAATATTGAGAAAGACTGCAGTTCCATTAATTTTCGCGGAAGAAAATTGGTGAGAATGTTAAATTATAAATAAGAACATACATATAATAATCTTACGGGAAGATGCAATAAATCCATTACATTGAAATATTTTGTTTTGTAGTAAACATGTGGAGGAGGATACAGATACCAATTTAAGCACAGATATAAATACAAATATAGCAGAAAATAATGACATAGACAATGAAAGAAATAGGTAAGAAACACTAAAGATACACTAAGATATACACCTAAAGGGAAAATAAAGTTATCGTAATATATAAGATAAAACATTAATGTATGTGAATATTTTTTGTTTTATAGTGAAAATACGAGTAAGAATTCCATTACGGACACAGATGCAGATATACATACACATGTAGCAGAAGATGTTAATAACATAAACATCCATAGCAACCACAGTAATAATCACATTAGAAAAAGGTGAGATATCTAAAGATTTAATAATTTTTAATTATTAATAATTTTTTCTATCGAGTATTATTCCAACAAATTATAAATTATCAAAATTTTATTTTCAGGAAATTGTCGCAAGAGAATTTTAGAAACTCAAAAATTAAAAAAATATTTGTAAACACTTCTAAACATGCTACAAAATGCTTCTGTAAAACAGATTTTGTGTCTGATGCAAAATGGGAGCAGTTTGTAAGATATGCGTCATATATTCGAAATGAAACAAAAAATATGTGGCAAAAGAAACACCGTATGCAGAAGAAAGTTTTAACTTATAAAGATTTGCTTCAGGACCTGAAAAGTAAAAACTTTATAACAAATAATGGTATACATGCAATCAAAGTAAGTTGAGTTTAGCTATTTTCCATTCGCAGAAAGATTTGAAATTCACATTGTCCACAATGTTTATTCTTTTATAAGAAAGTTCATGATAACTCTCCAATCACAATGTGACTTCATCATAATATTGACTCTTATAGAAAGGTCCATGATAATGAAACAAATGGTAGAACAATACTTGATTTCTACATCATGTTAAAAATATGGTATAACAAATGTTGTGCGTATACATATACCCTCTCAATCTACAAATGCACTAATGATGTTATATCTTCGTTCTAAATAAGTTATTATGTATATGTCTATGCGTACAACCATTTGTCTCCTTGATTTCTTCTGTTTTTATATCTATATTTTGTACTTCCTTTTTCTTTATTTAGGATATATTGTCACCTGTTATGCAACAGTTGCTACTTACAATGTTAAATAAGAAGCGAAAGAAGTCGTTCCCCGAAAGTTTAAAAAGTTTTGCATGCACGTTACATTTTCATTCGCCTGCAGCATATTTGTATGTAAGAAAAATGTTTTTACCTCACCCCAGTACACTGCGCATGTGGACGCAGACAATTCGTAGTAATTCCGGTATATCTGAACAATCGTTTAAAACTATACTCGATAAGGTGCAAAATGCTAGAGAGAAAGGAAAAAACTTAGTTTTCAATATAACTTTTGATGAAATGAATATTAAGAAAAAAGTTGATTGGGACGGCAAAGAATTACACGGTTTTATTGAAACGGGTATTAAAGATAGTAAGTCTGACAGTCTGCCATTTGCTACCCATATCCTTCTTTTTATGTTAGTGTGCATAAATGATCATTTTAAAATCCCAATTGCATTTTACGTTATCGAGGCATTAAATGGTAAGGAAAAAGCAAATTTGTTAAATAACATTTTAAGTATTCTCCATGAAAAAGCAATTTACGTTGTTAGTATTACATTTGATAGAGCAACTTCTAATATTGCAATGTGCGAGATACTAGGCGCACAGTTAAAACACGTCAATTTTGAACATATTGTTCCGTATTTTAAGCATCCTATTGACAAATCTAAAAATATTTATATTTTTTATGATGCATGTCACATGTTGAAGCTTGTGAGGAATGCAATTAGTAAAGGGGTTATTAAAGATAAAGACAAAAATGTAATAAGTTGGAACTTTCTGAAAAAATTAGTAAATGTGCAAACTGTGGAAAAATTACATGTTGCCAATAAAATGCGAAAAAGACATATACAGTTTTTTAATGAAAAGATGAAAGTTAATCTAGCAGCATAAACATTAAGTAATTCTGTGGCTGATGCATTGATGTTTTTAGAATATGAATTAAAAGAATCAAGATTTATAGGAGCTTCAACTACTGCAACATTTTATAAAACTTTCAATGACATATTTGATATCTTAAATTCACGTAACATATACAATAAAACTGAAAATAAACATGCAATAACAAGAAATACATTATGTACTATTAAAGATAAAGCTAAAACTTTTATGCATTATATTGCTTCCTTAACAATAAATGATGTTCCCGTATTACAAAGCATCCTCAAAACAGGTTTCATTGGATTTATAATTAATTTGCAGAACGTTATTACATTAGCAGAAGAATTATTTAATGTAAATGCAATAAACTTTCTTTTTACTTATAAATTATCACAGGACCATATCGAAACTTTTTTTTCATTGATTAGAAGAATGCATGGTTGGAATAATAATCCTAGCGTAAAGCAATTTAAGGTGTCATATAGAAAGATATTGCATTTAGCGAATGTGTCAGTCTCATTGAATGCTAATTGCATTCCACAAGATACTGTATTGCTAACACTTTCACATGAATCTACGAATGATATACAGACAATTAACGAACATGTAGAACAAAATAAAGATACTATTTTAGAAGAAAGATCTTTAGAAGACAAACCTTCAGATCTTATCTTTATTGAGCATAATTATGTATTACATGATAAAAAAGTTAATGAATATGCTGAAGAAATCATTGCTTACATATCAGGATATGTTGCTAAAACTATTATGAAAAGAATTAATTGTTCAGAATGCAAGCAATTACTTTCAAATAATACATATAAACAGTTGAATATAGAGCGTACCAGTAAACTTATACAGATAAAGGATCGAGGCAACTTATGTGAAGTATCAAATGATGTGATTACGATATGTAAGATAGCATATAAAATAGTACGATGTAATCAACATAGACTATTTACAAATAAAAATATTCTTGCACATCTCATATGTGAGGCTGTACGCTCCATTCCTGTGCATATATTTGACTATAATAATCATATATTCGATCAAAGTCCACTTTTTGATCACCGAAACCAAATAATTAAATTAATTTTGAAAACATTTTTTAATTTAATTTTAAAACATGAAAGTACATCATTCGCAGATTCGATACAACGAGTTCGGATGAAAAATAATAAAATAACCTTGTTCAAAAATCAATAAATAAACAACAACTTATATAAAAATATATATATATTTTTTTAATAAAGATTATATTACTTTGTAATATTGATATTTTTATTACAACTTTTCCACACATATTCATGTATAAAATATTTAATCGTTTCAATATAAATGTTTACACGTAGTTTATAATAGTTGAAACACATTTATCTCTAAATTTTAAACGGTTTTATTTAACATTACACAACTTTTTTTAACCTAACATCATGTATATAGCACGTTATATATTACTACGCATCACTGCGCATGCGTGAGCAGAGAAAGAAAGATACTCGGCACTTGCTTTCTGTCTCTTTCTACCTGATCTTCAGTCTTCACAAGAGTACACGCGCAGTCTATTCTTACTATGTCTATGACCCAATCCGAGACGAACTAAAGTCACTTCCGTCAGAGAGAAGCCTGAGAGCGGACATGGCTACATTTAAGCCAGCGGCACACGGTGCTTGTTTTCGTGCTGGATTGGTTGCTGGATGAAAATATTGCGTTCTGATTGGTACATTTTCGAAGATGGATAGAAACGCACCAATCAGAACACAGTATTTTCATTCAGCAAGTAATCCAGCATGAAAACAAGCACCGTGTGCCGCTGGCTTTACAGCGTTATGGAAAAGTTGGCTGATTCGAAGCGCTAACTGGGTCCATTTTTCATGGACATGAACTACTAGCCAATGTCCACGATTTGTCGGTACTATTCCGTGCTATGTCGATAATTATTTGGTTCTGTTCTGTGCTATGTTCACGAGCGAGCTAGATTAGTTAGATAAAAACGAAGAATCGGTCTTCGTCTCACCACCAGCGAATAGACAATCGCGATGAAGCGAGCCAGCAGCGATGTTATCGTAAGGCAGACGTCGCCGTCCCCCCTTTAACCCCCTTGTTTTCCTTTCCACATTATTTTATATTCATAATTCGGGAAGAAAATAATTTCGAGAGTTCGGACGATTTCTAGCAATGACGCGACAGAGATAACGCGCGGCCACATTAATTTGTCATGACTTTTATATTACTTATAATTACATAAACGCCCATATATGCAAATTATAGATAATTATTACCTGTATGTTTTAATATTGTACAATATGGCATATAATAACAACAACTTCATTTCTTGCAGTATTTTTTTAAGATCTTCGTTGAGGTCATGAATTCATTATTTTCTTCATCAATCAGTTTTCTGCAAAAATTAAGATTTTTTAAATAAAATATAAAATGTTTCTCTTCTCTTCTCCCCGAAGAGTTAATTAAAAAATATGTACTCCACAGAGTCAACTAACAAATGTGTAGTCAGAAGAGTCAATTGAAAAGTGTACTCCGAAAAGTCAATTTAATAGTGTATTCCGAAGAGTCAATTTGAAAGTGTATTCTGAAAAATCAAATTAATATTGTAATCCGAAAAGTCAATTTATAATAGAATATTTACTTCGATGATTCAGCTAAAGAAAAAAACATTTACTTATTATTATATTCAGAGAATAATATTTAATTTATTATTTATACTTATCTTACTTATACTTACCCTACATATGCTTCTTTGAATAAAAAATTTAATTTGTTGACTGATTTAGATTCAGATTTGTTAAAATATCTCTTATGCGCAACTCTTTAACAGGTAGGTAGTAAAATAACTTTTTTTCTTTACGAAATTTATAAACTTTTCACGAATATAAAAATTGGAAGATTCTCAGAGAACAAATAACTTTTCTTGAACATTTAAATCAAAGGAAAATCTTTTCCCATTAATAAAGAATAAATAATTAATATCTCACACGAGAGGAATCTTCATCCTTGAAATAACCGCGTGATTTTGCTTTTAGAAAAGTATAATATTGATGTAATAGTAACAAATGCTACCCAATAACGGTGCAAATCTTAAATGTTTTTGAGAAATGCAGTTTGAAATTTAGTCTTTTCTGTTAATGTCGTTATAGCAGAAGAATTACCAATTTGCTTCAGTAGCGCAGTGGATCATGCTTTGTGATATGAGCGTAGAGGTTGTTCAAGTGTGTTATTTTTACTATCACAGGGAGAACTATGTAAAATGTATAATAATACGCAGACAAATTCTTTTGTTACGTCCTGCGGACTCCGCGTACTTTGAATTTGTTGTCAAGTAGGACGGATTGCATTTTATATTATACTACCAAATATTCACATTCCGCGACCCTCCGAGAACTGTGACGTCACACACACAGATTTCTCTTTCTTTTCTCTCTGCTTTAATCACCAGAGTTTCCTCTATTTCCGTCGGAAAAGATCCGTTGAGTCATTTTGGCCATATACCTCCTCTCCAAATAACCTTAAATAACTTCCTGTTCGGAGCAATAATTTTCTTTGAAGATGGACCGACCAGACAATCTTTCATGCTGTTATATGATGTTGCCAGCCTTTGATTTTCGGAAACTCACGCGTTTCCCACGTTATTCATAAATTCCTATCGCGCACAACCTCTGACTAACCCTAGCGAAACTTTGAAATCTTTTACTGCCATAGATACCCGATCCTTTATCATATTTATCTAAGAACCCTACTAAAACCCCACTTCCGAAAAGTTTGCAACAAAATCCTATACCCATATTTGGACATAAACTTCGGAGCCCCCACCTCTTGACCGAGGTGACGTTTTTGGCAAAGTGAAAAAGCAATGCCACTTCTATTTCTCCTCTCGACCGACCCGCAGCCAGGACAGAGCCTTCTCTCCAACACCCCTTCAGGGTCTCTTGATAACCAACCCTACTAGTCAGATCAGTGTTCTTCAGTCATCTATTCTTCTGTGCAACGATTTCGTCCACCCTTGAGACATTGCGAGAGATCCTGCTGAGACCAGTTTCTAGTCCTTGGCGCAACTTGGGTCCATCCTCACCGACACGCAGCAATTACACTTTTCATTGTCGACTAACATCATAGATTACCAGCAGTAAGTTATTTATATTTTCTTTTACCTGAGTGATCTCTCTCGTTTCATTTTTTTTATCTTTTCTTCTCTCTCTTTTCTTTTCCTTTCGTTTTCCTTTTCTCCCTATTCCTCTTGGCATCCCTCCTTAATTGTTAAATCCGATTTCAGTGGCTCAATCTCCTCAATCACAGTCAGAGATAATCACCACGGAAACTTGTACAAACCGCGAGGATTTTGAGGTCGCCTCTTTAATACAAGATCGTCCAGATTATGTTATCCGCCACAACGAATCGAACATTTTAAGATCTGCGCATTTTCCTCTTATGTTCCTTCCTGACTCTCCTCCAGTAACTTCTTCTATCTCATACTCTACAACATCCTTGAGTCCAGTAGACGACCGTTCTGCCTCAAGCTCTCCTCTATCTTGGAGCCCATCCCTGACACCTTCCCCTCTAACTTCTCCTCTACGAGGAGGCACGCAAGGCTTCCACGCAGTTTTACTGAGGGGCCTCATACCTATTCGATCTCCCTCAGAAGTATCCTCATCGCGATCCTCCCCCTCACCTCGTGCCTCTCCGTCGCTAGATTTTCCTCTATGGGAATATGTTCGGAGTAATCAAGAATCCTCGCTCAGACCGCGATTGTTTATATATCTATGTATACGTACACTTTATAAAAGCTTGTAATTCTTATTTCATTGTGAACATCCATCTAATTACTAATAAAACAAGTTGTTTGTAATTGTAAGCAAATCACGGTTTTCAAATAATTATTCTCAATCAAAAAATTCTCCCTCCCCTCAACCGTCGCTCATGGTCCTATCCCAGGTAAAAGGATTCAGTTCCTTAACCTAAATAAAGGACCACCGACGTATGTCCGCGCCAGATAAAGGGGTCATTCCGATCCTTGATCTGCAGCGCAGACTTGCGAGTACGTCGGAGCTTGCGAAAGCAAGTGTCAAGTTGCGTTCCTCCTCCAGGACGTAACATTAGTCTGATGTTATATTTATACCTTGTGCATTTTCTTTGTTTTCCTGCAATAAAAATATACCTTTATTTTTTTGTAGAATAA